GGACATTTTTTTTTTTCATGAACAGCTTGTGCCCAGAATTCTATTTTCACTGAAGTACATTAAGCATCATGACAACCCATGGTAAACCTGCAACAAATTATTAATTACACTCGGGGTTTTCAATAACAAGTTTTGTAACATGGTTGCCTCACAAGATGCCTTAAATATTAAAAGAAAACCCCAAGTCTTTTCTATTCTTGGCAACGATACTTTTGAAAAAAAAATTTTGCTTGGCTTTCCACTTGCTGAAAAATGGTTCACTGAAATAGCAGAAGATCTAGTTACAACTTTAGAAAATATTTTCTTTAAAGAGGAGGGACACTGAAAACAGAAAGCTTGTGGCTGACGTCACAACGCACAAGGTGAGTCCATTTTTTGTTTGGGTGGCACTCGGCTGCTAAGAGCCATGCTTTTAGAGCACTGTTGAGCAGAGAGCAAGTCAGGACTCGTCCAGGACATGCCTGCAGGGACTCAGACCCAGGCCAGTCACACAGGCTCCTTAATCTCCATGCACACTCAGCCCCCGACTTCAAGGCTCAGCAGCTTCATCCTTCACGGCACCAAACCTTGATACGAGGGATGCAAAGACACACAAGAGAATCATGGGTTTGCTCTCACTCAAACTTTGGGAAACTGACTGAAAAAACAAAACGAGGTCTTATACCTAAGCAAAAGGGATTTTGTATTAACAATTACATCAACATAGCAAACAAAGAGACACAGCACTGCAGGCCCTCTAGTGTAAAAACAAAAGCTAAATTATACGGATAACTAAGCGGTTTTCATATTGGTAAAGAAGAGCATACCAGTGCATTGGTTGTCTCTTTATGTAGAGGCATCTATAAATCTTTTGGCACAGGTTAGACGGAAAGTACTGGAAGTGTGGGATGGTGTGAGACTTCTCATGTGTGTGACGTAGAGTCAAGGAAGCCATGTATGAGGGCGTGGACTTATATGAGGAGCTCTTGGGTAGTCTCAGTGCTACACAGGGGATCTGTGCATCAGCTCCATCCAGGCCTCGCTCGTCAGAGACCGTTTCCACCCAGAGGATGAGCTGCAGCAAAGGCCACACCCTCTGGAATAGTTTAATTTTGCCATTTTTAAAAGACACCATCACACTCGGTGAACAAGGAGCATGAGAAGAAAGTACTTCTATCTTTCAACTTTTTTCTTTTTTTGAGTGATGAGGTAAATGAAGTTAGTTCTTTCTTGGATAGAGACCCTTCTTTCCACCCTTTATCCCCTTTTGACCACTGCAAAATAGCTCTGTCTAAGGAAAGGGGAGAAGAGAAATGAGTGAAATAATGCCAGAGTCGGCTATTGCCAGGAAAAACACACCCTGATTGAGTTACTTTGTTCCGTTAATGTCAAAAGCTATGATTTCCAATTAACTAATTTTAAGAAGCTGTAACTGAAAATAGCTACATCAGCTTTAAAGTTAATGTCTGATGAAGATTAGGATCTTCAGTGAAGAGACCAGGGCCCCTAAAGAGGTGGTGATGTCTGCTTAATATCACCCTGCTAAACAAACACACGGCTGGTATGAATTTTCAAACAGTAAGTCTAGCCCTTCAGAAAAGCTGAATGGAGGTATGAGATGAGAGAACAATCCAGATATTCTGGCAGTAGAAAATGTTCCACAAACCCCAGTTTTGTGTCCACTCAATTTAGTTATGACAGCAGCATCCGTACCAGTGGGTCTCTGTGGGCTAGAGATGCTCTCCGAGCTCAGGTGGAATTAATTAAAGCAGCACGCAGTTTGCTCCGGTTCCTGCTCCCTCACCCTCACCACAGGCTCCATGTGCATTAACCAGAATGGCTTGAGCCGCTGAGAAGCTGAGCTAAGAATGACTCCATCACCTCTCTGCTTTCTCTACCTTTACCCTGGGATGCGTAGGTGTAATAACAATACTTTTAAAAAAGGCAGGACACTCATCTGAACTGTTGTAAGGACTTTGATTACCTTTAAATAGGGTCAAAGTAAAAATAGATGTGCATGTAAAAGTCCAGATCATAACTCTCTAACAAAGTCAGGAAGTAACCAGAGGAAAACTATGCACAGCCACACACAGAGTGGCAGTCTCTCCCCTCTAAAAGTTCAGGTGTTGCCTTTGCAATATTAAAACCCAGAAGGAGCGGGTGTGACACTTCTGTGCTGTCTTGTCACATTATGAGTTTCTGGTTTCAGATAAAAGAGGGAAAAGGTCCTTTAAGAAAGCAAAGAACTTGAAAAAACATCAAACTTCCGCCCTGGAAAGCTAAGGATTGTTTTCCTGGAGATGGTGGATAATGGCATTTCAGCTTTTTTAGGTTTTAATAGATAAAATGGAGGCAAATCACGGAAGAAAAGAGAATATATAAATAAGTAGAACAAGGTGACATTTCAATAAGAACTTTCTTCATTTTTTTCCTTCTCTTTCTCTCTCTTTTTGAAATCTTAAACCCTGTTTCTGGCTTGCATTTGGTAGGATTCCTGCTCTGGCTTTTATTGAAAACAGACTTTATGTGGTCAGAATTCTCCATCTGAAGCTGAACTTTAATAGGCATCAGGATCCTGACGGAGACTTTCTTGCTGTCTCTCAGGTGACACCCCCGCCGAAGGGATTTCCCTCCCCATGCGCTGCATTGGCACCGAAACTTGAAGGCTCAGCACAAAGCAACCAGCCTTTCTCCTGCACTCTGTACTCTCATTTCTGTTTCAAATTTGGGACTCTTTGCAAGGCTAGACCAAGGTAGATCTGGTTCTCACTTGAGAGTGTTCTAGAAATTTTGAACTGTGCAACTGTCGACCTACAAATCCCCCAACACACTTTCCTTCAACCTGCCATCCCGCACGGGCTGCTGGTTCCCGCCAGCCTGCCTGCTGCTGCACGCGAGCTGAAAATCATGAAGAGCAACTCCACCCTGCTTAGCAATCAGTTTAGTATTCAAACGCTGATTTTTCTTGAAGAGTATTGACAAGCTAGCTTATCTGAAACCAAAAGGTAAAGCAGTCAAGCAAGCAGGCAAGCCATGCGTGTTCATCCCAGACACTGCCGCCAGCCTGCTCTGGTTCCTTCGCAAGGCTAAACAGACAAAATAACGGCTTTCTCGGCTCCTTTTGAGACTCCCACTTTCCCACTCTCAAAATCTCTTCTCCCAGTGGCCTCCATACTTTCCTGGCACGATAGCAGACACTTTCCAGTGAATGTGAGTTTTTTAAAACAACAAACTTGATCTTACTGAAAGCTTTTTTAAAAAAAATACATAGAAGGGAAGTTCTTTTGAATAATGTAGCATAGTACTTCTAAAGTGGGAAGGGATTTTACTCTCCTGAGGGACAGTGGCCATGTCTAAGGTTATTTTCAGTGGTCATAACTGCAAGAATGTGAGTGACAGCTAATGGGCAGAGGCTAGGAATGCTCTAAACATCTTATAATGCACAGGGCAGCCATTCATAAGAAGAATGTCAGCAGCAATGAGGCTGAGAACACCAGGGTATCACGGGTGAGAGACTGGGCTCGGGAGGCAGATTGCTTGGGATTAAAGTCCAGCTCCACTAGGGCCTAGCCAACTAGTCTTGGGAGAGGGGCTTAAACTCCGTGCCTGTCTGTCAAATGTGAGTAGTAACCTATTTCATTGGGTTGTTTAGCCACTTTAGGCAAAGTATACATTCAGAGCTTTGAAGACAACGCCTAACAAATACTGAGAGCACAATGCCTGTTAATTATTTTTCCTATGGTATTAATACTAGCAATTTAGCTCAGGTCCAAATAAATTATAAGCCAAGTTAACTGAATTTGGAGACAAAAATATAGGATTGAGATTAGGACCAAAATGGCAGCACTAGTAAAAACCACAGTCCTTACAGTTTATCAAATGCTTTCAATTACTTCCTTTCACAAGATCTGAGCAAAACCCCTGTTGTTGATTATTTTTTTTCCTGTTTCATAGATGAGGAAGTCCTGTCTCAGAGTTAAACGAGGGCAGCCCACATCTTTTTACCCCCAGTTCCCTGATACTCGTCTCACGCCCTTTGTCTATTGGCCTGTGATCCCCTTCCTTTCATCACTAACCCCAGCAGCCTAAAATGTAAGTGCCACAACCAGAGGGAGAGGTGACTTCACCTTCTGGGAGCAGTCGCTTTTGTCTTTCTGGCACCCATGTCATCATGTTTCTCTGTCATGGAGCATGTGAGTATCCTAAGGCTCTCAATTAAAAAACATTATGCAGAGGCTAATATTCTTTCCTTTGTAAATTTCTGATTTGGGGGAAGAAGAGCTCAGCATACCTTACCCTTTAAAAATCTCAGATTGTATTTATCATACCTATTTTGATTGTAAATTGTCTGAAGATGAGAATATAGCTCCCACCTTTTTATGCTTGAAATTCCTTTATTCATCTGCTGTACTGGTTAGTCCTGAAAATTTGCTGATAATCGTCAGAACGTGTGAAGCAGAATGCAGCATGTTCAGTTTCATATACTGCTAGCGACCAAGCAGCTGTCTGTCCACATTAAAATTACTATGTGTAGCTAAAAAAAATTGTAGAGCAGTGAGGTGGATTGTACTTAGCTCACATTCAAGTTAGTGATATTTGGGTGTAAGAATCACAGTGCAGAAAGCAGATGGATAAGATTCCTCAGGTCAGGGCTTTTCTACAGTTCCTCTGGAAATTGAGAGGACAGGGTCTCAGCCCATGAAGAACTCAGACCTGTGGAGCACACAGCTTGCCACAACCAGCCACAAAGCCCTCGGTCAGGTTCGGCTAACAGCTGCCCAAATGTCATTCACTGGGGCCCGCTCAGTTTGTGCCACAAGAGGCTTTGATGACCACAGATCGGGTTTAAATGATAAAATAAGCTCGGCAATTTTTCTGCACATCCCCCAGCCAGGGTGAAAAGTGCAACTGCGCATGGTCAGATGTCTGTGATTTTCTTTTTCCAATATATTTTGTCTGTCACACCATGCGAAGAGCGCCCAGGAGCCGCCCTACCCGCGCGGTGCTCACTCACGCCTTACCTGGGAACACTGGGCGGGGCCCTCGTGGGCCGAGACGGGACCTGCGGAGGGGCTCCGAAGGAGTCGCTGCTATTGGGAAAAGGAGGTAAGGGCCCGGGACGAAACGGGACTGGGGGAGCCCCTGAGTGGGGGCCTGGAGAGGGGATGGCGGGAGCTGGTCCTCGGCCCGACGCGGGTCTCGTGAGGGGAGCACTGAGTGTGGGCCTCCTCTGGGTCGTGGGGCTTGGAGGAGGCGACCTGCAGAAAAAGACAATTCATCGTTTGCCCATTCCTGTTTCTCTCTGAATTCACCTATAAAAAGTTTTAGAATTTCCTGACTGCTTTTCAAAAATATTTTTGGCTGCGTAATTCGGAGACATTTCATGAAAGTTGAAAGGTGTAAAAGGGTAAATGGTGGAAGTAAGTTTCCCTCCCCTTCCTCTGCTCTGTGGAGACAACCAGCAGTGATTTCTGGTGTGTTCCCTTTAATTACGTCCTACATCTCGACAAGTGTACACCTTCAATCTATTTGTAAATTGGTGTTCTGTGCATCATAGAATGCACTACAATGTTCTACAACTTCTATTTTATAAAACTTATTTATTAACCTTCATTTGGGAATTTACTGAACCGCCATGTTCTTTTTAATGGCTGTATACAATTCCATTGGAAGGGTGCACTGTATTTACTTTTGCAGAGAATTAGTTGACTCTGCCCTGCTCATCTCCTCACTCCTGAACTTGAATAGCTTTCTCCCTTTTTTTCCTTTAGGTTCATAATGGTTTTGGAAAGCATTTTCAGAAAGGATGCCAGCATGCACAAGACTGTCAAGGTGCTGTGGGGCCATGTCCCTACCTGCGAGAGTGCTGGATCCAGGAGTCATCCACTGGAGGTGGTGCTGGGGTGGACACAGTGGCTGTGTTGATGTCACCAATGATCACCAGGGCTTCTTTCAGGGCTTGGTACATTCGAAGCATCTCGTCTCGGCGCTGAGCCTGCTCAGCAGATTCCTCCATCAGAGTATTCTGGTCCTCTGAGGAATATAACTGGGCTAGGAGCTCTGAGTTTATGAAGTCTTTAACCTGTCACATCACCAAAGAGAAATACAAGTGGGGATGGGTGAGTCATTGAAGGGTGCAAACATGGCTGTCGTATCTACAGTCTGTGAACAAAGTCTGCGCTGTCCACCAGGGAAAAAAGAACACTCCATGTATCTGCTCACTCTTATTTTAATCATCATCCTCACTATTCCTAGTGTTGGTGTGAGTAGTGGCTTTCTTCTTTCTTCTGTCAACACAGAGGGCAACAAAGAGGAGCAGAAGAGAGGCGAAATCCACCACCACCCAAACAGGGCCGGTTGGCTGTCCCCATAGTGTGGTCTGAGACTCCCTGGTGTACAGGAGAGGGAAGGAACCACTAGGTGAGAGAAATACTTTCAGTAGAAGATGGTGACCGAAAAAAAAAAAAAAAAAAAAACCTGTGTAGTAACACATGTTTTGCATTCCTGGGGATTCTCAGTTCCTCAGACAGTGTTTACAAAATCACTGGGAAACTGCAAGACACTGAGTTTTAATGCTCTCTCAAAAGTAGAAGTAGCACCCATAAGTAGATATTTATTAAATATAGAATCTCTCTTTATAGATGTATATATGCACGTTGATTTGTAAAAAAAAGTTGATTTATCAAAAAGTGAAAATGTAACAGCTGTTACATGAAACACCTAAATGTTATCTAGAGTCACTTAATATTTTCAAAAAAGGCGAAAAGCCAGTGTATTTGATTGTTTTAAGTCCAGAGAGACAATAGAGACCTGTCAGATGCTCTAGACTTCTGTGTTGTAGTTAAATTTGTAACTCAGAGACGATATGAGTCTAAAACACATAGTTTCATTATTTTTTAAGGATATTAAAACATGTAAATAATTCTAATTAAAAGTTTGGTTAACTTCACAGCATCATAGTTGCAAAATGAAAAGTGTTCCTGCATTCTTTTTGTATTTTGGTGAGCCAAGAGTGATTCAAGTGTGGAAGCAACCTAATACACAGTGTGTATTCAGAGAACTCTCTGGTGGGGTACAAGGTTTCTGATAGTTACAATAGTTTGTGGAAGATCAATTTGGCACAATGGAGAGGACTTGAATGCTAAGGAAGGTTTGAACTTTATGCACTCAGCAGTGGGGAATGGTGGTAAGTCTTTAAGCAAGTACATGAAACAATAAGAGAGAGTTTTAGGAGACTTAATCCAGATGGGATTGAAAAGAATTAGGAAGGGTAGGAGAAAAGTTCATAGGAGGCTACTGTAGACGATTAATGGGAGTTAGCAATGATGCAGTGGAATGGAAGAGAGGTATACTTGTAAATGACATTATAAAGGAAAAACTGACTGGACTGGGTGCTATTTGTTCATGCAGGGCAAGGAAGAAAGGAATGAAGATAACCCAAGTATTGACATTTGGCTGAATGTAAGAATAGAAAGTCGAATATCACAAAAGAAAGTCAGATTTAGAAGAATGGCAGTCAGTTTGGCTTTAGGAATATTTTATTACCCTCATTGAAGATATATTCACTTCTAAATCCAGTTGCAGGTGCCCAGGGAGGCATGGACACACACAAACCTTCTACTGTTGGGTGTGCGCATGCATTTGGAAACATATTGCAACTTAATACTCAAAGCCAGGCAATTTTCCTGGCATTGACCAACAGTTGAGTTAGCTCTTTTGAAGTTTTACATCTTGCTGGACTGTAGCTTAGGTTCTATTAAATACAGTTTAAAAGAAGATTCTTCCAAGAATAGATTTAAAGCAGATCTGAATTGAGAATCAATTGTGGAACCATGAAATAAAATAGTAAAGGGCTATTTCAGCATTCTGATCAAAGACTTGTCTTGAATCTTCCACACCCAAATGTTATACACTAAAACTTGCCTACTTGCTATACACAAAATCTTTGGCGGTGACCTGAAATAATATGGTGTTAATAACATGAGAAAAATCAGCAACACCTCACATGGGTAAAGAACACAGGCTTTGGAATGAGACTGACCTGGATTTGCATCCTAGCTCTGATACTTATCTTTGAGGCTCAGGTTCTTTATTTGTTTTTTTTTTTTTTTTTTGGTTTTTTTTTGGTTTTTCTCCGGTACCGGGAACCGAACTCACGACCTTGCGCTTGCCAGGCAGGCGCTTTGCCGCTGAGCTAAATCCCCAGCCCCAGGTTCTTTATTTGTAAGATAGGGATGGCTGTAGTAGCTTCCTTAAGCACTGTGAACGAATATAAGGTGCCTAGCATACAGTTAGTGCTCAATAAACAAAAGTTGTTTTCGCTTTTTATAGACTAAATTGGCATCGGTATGTAGAGGAAGGAGAACAACAGAAAGCTATTGCAATAATATAGCTATCGAGTGATGTAGTTAAGTATTTTGCATTTAAGCAAAATTTTAGAAAGACTCTGTCCTTTTGACAGCCTGTGATGATATTGCCAGAGTTTGGAATAAAGATTTGATGTGGGCATTTGGGGGGTTGTCAGATACTTCAGGGACTTTCTGAGCAGTTTGTATGTGTCAGTGTTACAAGTCCTTAAATCAAGGATTCTGCAAGACAACTAGAGGTCAAGTGGATCCCTTGTAGGTGATAGCATTTAGAAAATACCTCACAGGCCATAACAAACTGATTATACTTGGATGTGAGATTCGAAACAATCTTTATGCTTTTAATTATAACACCTTATAACCTCTACATCTTTGTATGGTTTGCAAAAATTCTCACATATGAAACCTTGTTCCAGCTCAAACTCTCCAGGCTAGATAAACAGGCATTACCACACCATACCACACTGCTCAGTGTAAAGGAATGCGAGGTCATTAAAAATGTTCCACATGTTTTCCTCTTCCTTGCTTTAACCCTTCTCTAGCAACCTATGATATATTTGGATTTTAAACCAGCTTCTTTGTTATGACTGAGATCGTTTTAATGGCTTTACCAACAGAAGAGACATTTTGAGGATTTTTGTATAGTTCAGTTGCCAGGGAGATCATTTCCTTAAAATCTCTTTGTTTCTACACAGGATTGCTTTACGGTGCACCATGATCTCTCATTCACATGACACATAGACACTTGCACTCCAAAGTTCAATTTTAATTAGTTTTAAGGATAGGGTCCTGATTGGAATTTTAGATCTCACAATTTTCCTAGAACTACTTAAGGCTTCTGTCTTTCCCCTAGGGATTTAGCTCTGCTAATGACCGAGGCAAGTTTTCCTTCTTCACAAGTAATCTCCAGTTACTCACAAGCATAACATTAGGCAGAAGAAGTTAGACACAAAAAGACACATATGCTGTGATTCCAAAGTTCATAAACGGGTAAAACTAGCCATGGGTTCAGAAATCAATCAGGGGACTATTGCCTTCGAGGGGGTGAAGGCAGGAGGCGGGTGAGAGGGGTCTGGAGGTCTTGGTCGTAATCTTTTTCTTAAGCAGAGTGCTGAATTCTTGGGCTGTGGAAACAGATCAATGGTCTAAATACCAGAATAAAGGCCTGGTATTTAAGATATATTTTCCACTCAAATAATGACCATTTAAAATAACACTTTACTTCATACACATTAAAGCTACAGTAAGTTTTGAAACTAGGGCACCTGTTACCAATTTTCCACCCAGTGTCAATGGCCCAGGAGAGGGAATGTGGACCTCCAGGGGTCCGGCTGCTGCTTGCCGGCATTCTGAGTGTGAAATGCCTCCAGGTTTCATATCTGGTTTTTAAAAAGAATCCATAAAAGCTTTTACATTTGATTCTGTATTCTCTGAGTTTATTTGAATAGGAGACACAATGCTTTCAGATTTAAAACATTGTTTTCATATTCAAACAAATCCTAATTAGATCTTCAAGTAAAATTAACCCTCTGGGAACATAACTCTGTGGCTATAGTCTGTGGGGGGTAGGGGGGTGACCCTCCACTTTGCAAGGACTGAACTTTAGTGTTGCCAATCCTACCATACGCATTAGCTGGTGTCAGCATGCAGACGACGTGCAGACAGCATCAGGCTGGAGTGAGCAGGCCTGCGTCTCAGTCTAGACTCTGCCACCCCCGGCTGTGTGGGCTTGTGCAAGTCATTTAACATCTCAGAGCCCTAGTGTCTTCATTTATAAGCTGAGGAAAATAATGGGTGTCCAGTGGGGTGGTGGTCAGAGGGATTCAAACCTGCCACTTCGCCACCTCAGCTGGTGGGGAACTGCTGGTGGGGCAAGCTGCAGAGGCAAGGCTTGCATGCAGCGGGCTTGCGTGGAGTGCTTTGTGTGTGCTGGCTTTAAGGTCCTGCACAAAGCTTTGCTGCTTGAACTATAGCTTGTCCATAACTGCGGCCTCTCCTAAACATGGGGTTTCTTTGTGCTGCTATTACCTGGTATGTTTAAGTAATGAAACAGCTGCTATGTTTCAGTAGACAAAGGCTTACAGTATGTCTGAGGCAAGGCATTTATTGCTTGGCTTTCAACTTCTTAAACAATTCCATATGGAGACCTGAGTGGCAGAGCCCTTAATGTAAACTTTCAAAGGAAACTGTCCACCGAATTCGGAACTTTATGAAAGTTGGCTGAAGCATATTCCTTTGCAGAAGGCAAGGCAGCCTTTCCCATTTCAAAGAGGAAAGGCCATAGTCTGTTTCTGGTTGAGCAGGAAGAAATAGAGAACCTCATTTTAGGTATTTATTGGTTCTGGAGGAATACCAAAGCCATTTATAGAAGCAGCTCAGTTTGGTGGGTGGAATTCAGAGTTAGAAGTCAAACTATCAGTTTTCTAGTTGAAGATAGCTTCACCTTAAGTGAAATAAAAACACTGGCACATCTGAATGGCCCAGTGCTGGGTGTCTGCTATGTGCCTTCTTGTTCTTACATGTGGAATGAACAAAAGGTTGGCATTCTGTCCGACACACAGTTTTGGGTTGTGAGAATGTGAGAACATTTTTAAAGAGAGACATCTTTTCACAGATACAGAAATTACACATTTAATTTAAAATATATAATGTATGTTATACATAAAAATCTTACATGTATAGTGAAAAACAGATATAATTCTCAAGAAAAGCAGTTATTCTACATATGTAAAACAAATGTCTGATAGAAACAAAAGTTTACATTTCAAACAGAAGTAACTAATGTCACAAAAATTCAAGCCTCACGTAGCACTTTTACCTCCACCACATTCCTATTAATCTCTGTTTCAAGGTTTGGCCTTGGAGACCAGATCTTAATTGAAGTCTCCTTTCTCATGACTCTTCTGTGAGGTCTCTCTCAAGACGACTAGCAGAGCTTTACTGCCAAGGACAATATTCTGGAGGTGGGGGTTTAGCCATTTCATTAAAGAAAACAACACAACAGTTAGGAGCGAGGGAAATTACTCCTACATTTCTTTGTATGTATGGGTACGTGGTGTGTTTTTCTTGAGACGGTGAAAGTAGGATAGATTTACAATAGGATTTTTTTTTCCCCCTTTTAACTAATTTGTGTCAAGCTACTCTGAACAGCTATAGACAGGAAGTGCTATTTCCTGTGCTGATGATTTAATATAGCGCAGGGCAAAGCAGCATTTGAACTGATGGCAGTACTAATGACTCTTGGTAAAACAGTGAAAAGATAAATGATCCTTAATCAGGCAAATGTTTAAATAAGCAAATGCCTGGATATACCACAGCAAAACAACCTGAATTCATTTAACCAAAGCTAAGAGGGTAATTTAAAAAATACACAGACTATTTGTTTAGTGCTTTAGATTTTTCTAAACGGCTTACAGCCGCATTTATTATATTCTCTGACAGATCTCTGAGGTACCTCGGTGTTGTGACTAAATAAAACTGTAGAGGTCACTGACTTCAGCTCAGAGTGGTTAAAAGATATGCTTCAGTCCACACAACAGACCACTGATCAAGAATAACAGTACCATTCATAGTTCCCACATTTCCAATTTATTGTTTACCTGTGCTTAGACCTCAAAGCATTCTGTTAACCTTGCTCAAATACATGAAATGTCTACAAAAATAGTTCAAAACAACTTACTAGAGATGGGGGAAGGGAAGAGGAGGGGAAGGGTATTAAAAAAACAAGGTTGTTCACATGTTTAAGGCTTCTTAGAATTAAGAAATGTAGAAATCACGGACAATAAATGGATAGCTATACTTGCAAGTAAAATTCTGAAGTCAATCTCAATGTATGGATAAGAGCTATTCATGGTTTTTTTTTTTTTTATTTGTTTTGTTTTGTTTTCCCTGTGGCACCAGGAATTGAACTCAGGACCTTGCGCTTGCCAGGCAGGCACTTATGCCACTGAGTTATATCCCTAGCCCTTATTCATGATTCTTAAATAGACGACCACATTGATTTCTTACACTTATATTTCCCACAGTAACTGTCATACATACTATCTTCTGCAACAAATCGCCAAGTCGGACACACTTACTATGATCAGTAGTTTACGTACTGACATGTAAACTGTCATGTACAGGGAAACTGACATGTACAGGGTTAAATGACTCACTTTAGGTCAACAGAATCTGTAGCAGAATTAGGGTAAGAGCCAGGTTACTCCTGAATTCTAGTTTGGGGCTTTTTCACTATTTTACCATCTGATTTTGATTTCTTACAGGCAATGTTCATAATATATTGGTGGTTTAAATAAAACAACGTCCTTAGATAATAACTGGGAAAAATTAATGATATTTTACATGTGAAGATTCAGAAAAGGCTGTTATAAAACAGCACAGTATAGCCTTCTTATCTAAAAGATAATTTCTCTAATAGCTTGTAGTTTTATTCGTACTTTGAAAAGTCAACTACCAAAAGAACCAAACCAGACCACTTAATTTAAGTATCACATCCAGAGAGCTACAGATAAATGAAAAAGGAATGATTCTGGAAAATATCAATTTGTCTATTGCTAGTATAGCAGGATACTTTGAGATTTGTGGTTATATCATCCTTAAAACAAACCTGACTTTATAGTCAAGGGAATAAGGCAAGACGCCCTTTCTCAAGTTAAAATAGCATTTTAAAGTTTATACAGAATGAAAATCATATTAATAGTGTATATATGTATGTGTAGGATAAAGTATATCTTTTGCCTTTAATCTCAAGATCTAGGAGCCAGGACATCTGACTTTATTGCTGGCTTTGAAATTAACTTATACCATGACCATGAGTTGTTGGATTTGAAGTTAACTTATACCATGACCATGAATATAATATTTTTACTCTGCTTTATTATCAGCAAATTCACACCCTTCTAGAAAATAGCCAATGAAGCACACCTAGGTACTTTAGCTAGAAGTCCTGCTTTCTCTCCTGAATTTTCTTTCATCGATCAGTCACCACTTGTAAAGGAAAAATTATAAACCCAGGTATTTCAGTTATCCAGTTATCACAAAGACACTCAAGCAAATGTGCTCAGTTTCTACACTTGAATGGGTTACAAGTTAAGGAGATAATTTGTAATCACTTACATTATTGATCATAAGGTGCATTATAGTTTTAGGAATTAAATCTCGGATGCATTTGTTGATAATAGACATGTAGGAGTCCACGAGGTTGCGAATGGTCTCCACTTGCCTCTCTAGTTGTGGATCCATGGAAAAATTTTCTGTTTGGCCATTCTCATCATTTTCAGTCTAACAGAGAGGAAACAAAATGAAACATGGATTATCTCATGTTTGCTCAGAAGGAAAACACGCCAGACATGAAATGATCAACTTTTGCTTAGCATACTTTGAGTGTACTCCATTATACTGTAATATGTTTACCTTATCTCCCACCAATTAATTCTGAAAAGAGATCAAGATCCTTCAGTTTTGTTCTACTTTTAGCCTACCATGTTCTAGCAAAAGGAAGTATTCTATGTCTGAATAAATGTTGAAACGTGTAACCAAATAACAGTGTACCTAACAACAGACCTCTAGAGAACAATCTAATCTTAAGCCATTTGCAAACTGGCCAAAGAACTGAATCCAAACATATGATGCAGATGTAAACCTCTGGGAGGAGTCTCCAGGGATTCCATAGATTAGAAATAACCTTGATGCTATTCTGGCACTTCTAGGTCTGCTCTGGATTGGATCAGCCTTGATTCAAAACTAAATCTCTGAAGACTGGCCTAGAGCCAAAGTAAGAGATACAGAAGATAATTCATCCTTCTATGCATTTGCTGGAATTTGTTATGTAAATTCATGCTTCTGTCATCACTCTGAAAGGCTGGCTCCATTGTGAAAACTTACCATGTCAGCTTCCAACTTGTTATTCTTTGACTAAAACGGAGCACATCTATACACAAAGAATTTATTTGTGCAATACAAGGGGCGCATCTGTTTTCTATATCATAGAACTTGAATTAATTAATTTTGGCTTATCCACCAGAGGCTGGGCTGGAATGGCATCTTCATCATTAAGGGATGACCTATTGGCTTGGCATTGAAATCAGTTTGGAACAAATGGTCTCCATTTAAAGTCAGGTTGAAGCATCTAAGCCCCCAAACATGATACCGATATTTAGTGGTTTGGCTACCTTTTAGTATTTAGAGAGGTTTAATTACGAATGTAACAAAGAGAAATAATTTATTGTTTCCAATGTGGACATGAAGTACCTTTCTTTGGAAACACACATACTTTGCTCTGCCAGATTTTCAATCATCCAATCAGTTCTAGGCAAAGCACTATGCTAAACAACTTCACAGTGTCTATAAATGATGAGCCTTTCCTTTGAAGCAATATGCATACGTGAACGGTATATTCATAAGTCACAAGACCGAAACCAACGAAGATAGAAATTTACAACATTTCTATAGGTTTTGTAAAGAAATATTGAATGCTTAACAATGTGTGCTCACTGTAAAAATTAACTGTCATATTTTAGTCCTGAGAGCATGATATGAACCTGCAAGGTTAATAGCATAGGACATAACTGAGGGATCACCTGCTACAGCAGCAAAAGAGAAAGAAGATTAAAAAATTCAAAGTGACAGATGATTTTTTTATTTAATTTCTTTAAAAATGGTCTCTGATAGGAAACCACCGAAGAGTAAAGGGCTTCTGGGATGTGGGAAAAGAGAAGGGAAAGAAGGAGAAATTTTGTATGTATGTATATACAGGATAGATAACATGGTTGTTCTTCTATCTGCTGTTTCTATGCTGAAAGAAACTGTCAATGAGTCTTTGGTTGACCAGTATTGCATGTCTATATCTGTTTTGATGAGAAGCCACTTTGAAGATATCAATATGTAATACAACCACCATTGTTAATTCCCTACCACTTTGTTTGTAACTCTGTATTGTCTGTATTGTGCTTGTGATATGTTGTAAAATGTTGTATGTCTGTTAATGTTTCCCTCCTTTTATCCTTAAAATAAAAAAAAAAAAAATGGTCTCTGATGAAAGTAGTTCTTCCATAATTCTTTAGATTTGCTATTAATTTATGATATAAATACAATATGATGTAAAATAAATGAACAAAAACCAGGGCGAAAAAAGATGAAATGATGGAGGGAAAGTCAGCCATGAAAGAAATTCAGTCATGTTTCCAAATATTTTCTGAGGTATAAATACCGCACCAAGCCTGCAAATGTATACTATTCTACAATAAAAGCCTAACCCTAACCCTAACCCTAGCCCTAACCCTAATCCTAACCCTAACCCTAACCCCAACCCTAACTGTAACCATAGCCCTAGTCAGTCCATGGTAATTGCCATGTTGTTTTAAGGGTATTGTATCTGAAGGTCAAATCTTCAGATTTAAATTTGTACATTCAGTTACCTAGCATGACTAAGACTCAGCTTCTACATCTTTAAACTGGGAATACCCTTATCTGGAAAAGCTGAGGCAGCTGACTGAGATGATGTATATGAAATAACCCAACAGAAGGCCTCAATAACTGTTAGTTCCTTTCTTTACGGAATATCCATGGATGAATTGAGAGCTGCTGACTCTCAACACACATTATGGACATCTGAGGTGAAAAAAATGGAGATAAAACATTTCCAATTTAAACCTTTAAAAAAGGCCAAGCTACACATTTATATTCTGTACGCCTATGTCTTTTACAAGCAACTCCTTGCCTATGGCCCTTTCTGCCCACTACTCTGCCCTAATCTATGAAGACAGCTCATGTCTCAAGCCTGTTCCACTGTAACCTCTTCTATGTAAGCCCCTGGTGACCCTTAGATCTTCAAGTACTCCTCTTGCACACCTACTTTTATTTTTTAACATCCGGCTTAATTCTACGCTTCTCCTGTGCTAGACTGTAGATTGGATCTTGTGTAGCTCTTCTTTCTCAGCAACTAGCACAGACCTTGTGTAGAGGAGTGTGAGGCATTAAAACTAAAAATGGGTATACCAAAGTAGGAATGCCTACTTAGTACAGAAACAGAGAAATCTTAGGTTGATTAGTTAGGGTTCACCACTACGTGATAATAATGAGGATGAGAAAATGATTATGAAACTATACGTATGCATGAGAACAAAGCTGAATTTACGAAGCTGAAAATCTTTTCTATATGGAGCAAAACAAACTTCCATAATGACTACAATACAACTCAGTTAGTCTCTTGTGGATTTTGCTATTATATTTAGCAGTAGGGGGTGAGAGCATTTCAACATCAACCTACTACTTCCTCTGGGAATACTTATGAGCACTTACTGTATTTCAGGTGCCATGCTGATAGATCTGCACCACAATCATAGGGAACTTTGTTACTGTCACTCTATAGAAGAGCATATCGAAGCTCTGAGAACTGATATTTGTTCAACACACGTAAAATTAATATAATTTTAAATTAAATTTCTTTTTCTGTTTAGTGTTATAAAAGTAGATATGAAACATTCATAATATATCATCAGTTTTATCTATAAAATAATGAATATGAAAAATAAATCATTGAAGTACTGATATTTGTAAGAAATAAATTATTGAGCTAGAAGAGAAAAGTGGGACAAATTGCAAATATTAAATAAACCTTTAGGAGTATGATGAAACACCAGAAAAATTATATCACCATTCATATTTTCATGTAGAAACACTGAATGTCTTCATTTTATACTATTATTAACATTTAGACTTGCTTTACTTTTCTGCACAACAAAATGTGCAAAAGATACTGAGTTTTGCATTTTGAAATCAGAAGCACTTAGTAAGCAAAGTGTCAGAGTGAATAAAGCACACTTGTTTACTTCTCAAAGTAAACAAGAAAAAAATTGAGATACTCCAAAATGCTCAGTAAAACAACCTAAAGCTCTCTTTAGCCTTTGGATATACTAGTACACATACAGACACATGTAAATCTTAACTATTTTGATAACAGAGTGGACATGTGAGGGAGTCACAGAATTTGGAACATAAATTTGATTTCTGATTTTAGAAAGAAGCAATAATGTCGAAGATAAGTAAGGAAAATGTGAAAGTGTGTATAGATGAAAATTTTCCTTTAAGTGAGCAGCAGCAGAGAGCCTAAGTTCGCTTTTCTCTAATCCCAGCTCTAACCAAATTCTCTGCCATTCTTTTGTGAATGTATGCTGTGCGTGACTGTATTTTTCCTTTGTTTAAATTATGATTGCAATAGGATTCTTTGCAAGGCACTAAAGTGACAGATGTTTATCATTATCCTCATCAAGGGAATGTAAAATAAAAATAGTAATTTGTCTCTGATCTTTGAAGCAAAAAAAAAAAGAATGGCCTGCAAACATTTAACCTTTTATGTGCAGGTTCATTGAAGCTGTTTACAAAATGTGAATAATGTAAAACCCAGCTTTCTTCTGAAAAATACAATAGGCAAGCCTTGCTGAAATTTTTTTCTAAGTAGCTTTTGAGAAATCTAATTCAATTTAAGCAATTACAAAACAATAGTGTAAATGTGAAACACTGAAATGTACTTACCAAAATTATAACTCTTAAGAAATTATTTAAGAAACAGACCATTCTAGAAAATTTTAATTTAAGAGTTTTTTCTTAAAAGTTTACAATAACAGGTGGGGGAATGAAAGTGTTGTATAAGAAATACTTTTCACTAAGTCTTGAAGCATTCCTTATAAAAGTTCTGGACCTGACTGAAACACCTCCTCTCTTCCCTTAGTAAGAACTATCTCTTAATTATATCATCAGTTTATTTGAGGACCTCGGGAACTATTGAAATAAAGCTGCTGACTTCAACTCTTTAACTCTGGGATAATAGAAACAAAATATCTTCCCAATCGTATGAGCTTAACAATACTACAGAGCCAATGGGGGATTTGCCGGGTCTCTTCTCTCCAATGGAAAGCACTGGAAGTCATTTACACAGTTATACAAGTTATTTTTCTAGATAACTAATTCTGATCCCTTTCTATGTGTTCTTACTACATAATTCTCTATCTTAAAGAATAAAAATATCATTTGACTTCTTAGTGAATCTCATCACTATGAAAACATTGTTACCATGGTAATGCACCTTCGAATTTTGGAGGTCCAAATAACTGAGAACGTTTTCACCTAAAACCACTCTCCACTCCCAACTGTTTGCTTACAATTTGTTGAGGCTAGAAATTAAGCAACCAACTGTGCAAAAAACTACATGAGAATGATGCCCCAGAAGGCCTTTGAGGGTTTTCTAGGTTGTCATCTGGCACTCTGTGACAGGTATTTCACTG